ATTACTGCTATATGATAGCCAATACTGAGAAAATATGCTAGAGAAATGTAAATTCTATGCAGTATTATTCTTTTGTAAACACATTTTTAAATTCTTTAACATTCGTGTCTGTATTTATTTTGTTTGCCAAAGGCTGTGTAGCCCTCCCATCGATTGGGACAGTATTTTCAAAGGCATGAAAGAACCAAGTCTGTCACTACAAAAAGATGAAGAGAAATCTAGAGCCTCCACTCTGGGACCCTGTTTTTATGTCCTTCCAGTTCTCCAGTCCTGTCTTAAACCCAGAACATGACTCTCTATACTGACTGAGGTTGAGACTCAGCACAAATAGCCTTGAAATTGCCTCTCCATGAGAAAAGATTGTCAGGTCCTAGTTTTTCAGTTGAGGAGGCCATTCTTCTGTGAGATAAACTGTCTTTAGAGTGACTGAGAGTCTTCGAACTGTGTCACTTCTGTTTCTGTAGCCTTCACAGAACAATGACATAGATTCTAGGAACTAACTTCAATGATCTCTGCTAGATCTTGTATCCTTCAAGTCAAGTGTTCTGACATAGGACACGGTCTCCTGGGCTTATACATTGTTAATTGAGAGGAATAAACTCTGGGTAAAGTCAGGAAACATTCTAGCTGGCCCCTCTCTGCACCTACTCCTCAGGCTCTGCACAACTAATTTATTTAGATGTTTCTCTTATCCTAACTCCTGGCAACAAATATTTAGCTATGTTACTGGTGACATTAACACAGAAATAGTAATTTTATTTGGTATAAATCATGCAGCATACCTATAGATAAATAATGGAGAATCTTTGCTGAAAGGAAAAGAACACACAAATAAAGCCCAAAGAAGATTTTCTTAACTCCTCACACTGCACCTTAGCATTACACATTTTCACTCATGCATCATTTTTAAATCCGTTTATGTCCCAACCTCATGTTATACTTTGAATAATTTAAACAGAGACAGGACATGTAAAGTGTGGCCAGGTAGGCAGATGTGAGATTTATACAACAAAGATAATGCCTTCTTCCTTTTTCCTTCTTTTTTCTGATTTTTTCATTGAATATATATATATATATATATATATAATTGAATATACATATTCATATATATAAACCATATATATATATTGGTTTTTTGAGACAGGGTTTCTCTGTGTAGCTTTTTGCCTTTCCTGGATCTCACTCTGTAGAGCAGGCTGGCCTTGAACTCACAAATATCTGCCTGCCTCTGCCTCCCAAGTGCTGGTATTAAAGGCATTTTAATGCAGTACATTCTGATTACTGTTTCCCTTCCCAATTCCTAGATTCTTCCCCAACTCCTCTCCCACCCAATTCTGCCTCAATGCTTTCTCTCTATATATCAAAAACCAGTCACCTAAAAATAATAATAAAATAGAAAAAGATTAAGTAAAATAAAATGGAATATGACAAGACAAACAAATAGTAGCACCAACAAAAAAAGTCCACAAGAAACAGAGACACACATTCACACAGTGAGAAATCTCATAAAAACACAAAGGTGGAAACCATAATATATACACAAATGACATGTAAGGAAGTGGAAAAGCCATAGAAAGCATTATGAGACAAAGAGCATCCATAAATTCCTGTGAGTCCATTTTGTGTTGTCCATCTACTGCAGGACATGTGACTGCTCTTAAGAGCTTTCTGTGTATTTAGTGAGACTGCATTGAAGAAAACTAGTTTTTCCTTATGAGAGGTTATTAGATTGAGCTAGCTTCTAGAATAGGGATGGGGGCTTGTGTCCACAATGTCCTCTTAGCATTGGGACCCCATCTGTCTTAGACCTTTGAAGGCCAGTGCATGCCAGTCTCTGCCAGTTCATATATGCATCCGTCCTATTGTGTCTGAAAGGTCTTATCATCTTGGTGTCCTGCCTTCTTTTTGGAACTTAGAGTCGTCATCCTCACCTTCTGCAGGGATCCCTGAGCCCTAAGGGGAAGCATTTGATGGAAATATCCCATTAGGCCTGTCTCACTCTCTGCACATTCTCTAGTTGTGGATCTCTTTGTCCTCATCTAATACTGTAGGGAGTTTCTCTAATGATGGCTGAGCAAGACATTAATTAACAAGTATAGGAGGATGTAATTAGGAATTGCTTTATACTTATATTTCTTTAGCAGAATAGTAATATTTGATTTTTACCTCAGTTTCACCTGTCTAGTCTTAGTTCTTGGCCACCAGAGCAAGGTCTGGGATTGGACCCATCTTGTGCAGTGGACTGCAAATCTCATCTGATGTTGGTCGGTTCATCCTACAAGCTTTTGCATACTGTTGCATCAGTGTATTTTGCAGCGAGGTCATGATTGTAGACTGGTGTTTATCTTTCTCCTTTGGCAGCATGCAGAGTGCACTCCAGTATCATAAACACTATTCACTAGGAGTGAAAGCTCCAGCTCAACTTCTCCACATTAAATCAATTTTGAAGATATTATCTTTAGAAATAGAGCCTTGTCATTAGCTTGTATAGAGCAGCCAATAGCCTTGACAGTAACATGGGTGGTTTGGGAGTTTCCTTGGGGGTCCTTTGGCCAACAAAATAATTAGATGAGAGCCATTCCCAGGACTGGAGGTTTTGTTTGGTGAAGAGACATGTCTAGATGGGACTTTGTCTCCCCAGTTATTGGGTGATTTCATCTAGACTTCCCTCATATGTACATATTTTAAGAAGCTTCTACTGTATTATGATTCCATCGAACCCCTCAAATGGACCTTAGTTTAAGTATCCCTTTGTATATCCCTTCCCTTACTCCCAACTACTCTGTCCTCCCTTGTTGATCCTCACTTTGCAGTCCTCCCTCATCCATCCATAAACATTCCATTAACCCTTCTTAGGGACATCCGTGCCTCCCCAGTAGTCCCCTACTCTACACATATCCCCTGTATATATAATGATTGTATCCTGCCTATGGAAGACTTAAAAGATAGCATCCACATTTAAGCAGATACATACAGTTTGTCTTTTGGAGTTTGGCTTACTTTAGTTTGGTTTTTTGTAGCTCCATCCATTTATCCCTTTTATTAAAAGCAGATTTTTTTCTCATACAATATAGCCTGATTACAGTTACCCCTCACTGGACTACTCCCAGTTCCCTCTTCTGCTCCCAACCGAATCCACTCTCTTTATGTCTTGAATTAGAAAAAAAACAGAATTCTAAGAGATAATAATAAAATAAAACATAATAAGTTAAAACAAGAAACCATCATATTGAATTTGGACAAGTCAAATCAATAAAAGGAAAAAAATCCCCAAGAGAAGGCACAAGAATCAGAGAGCCACACGTTCACACACTCAGGAGTCCCATAAAAATAAATGGTAACAAACACAGAGATCCACTCAAGACATTGTAGAGAGATCTTGGAAAACACAGCTCCAAAGAATGGATGTCTCCACCCCTCAGAGCACAGGGACCCCCACAGAAGACGTGGCTAAAATAGTGTAGTCGCTAGAGAGGATGCAGGACATCTGGAGAGCAATGCCCTCTAAATGAACTGAGCAAATGTTATATGAACTCAGGCAGACTGAGGCAGAAAACACAGGGCAGACGTGGGTCTGCACCCAGTGCTCTCCATGCATATTATCTTTTAGGTTAGTATCACATTTTCTTCACCCATTTTTCCATTCATCGACATCTAGGCTCTTCCAATTTCTGGCTATTATCAACAGAGCAGTAAGGAAAATGATTTAGCAAGTGTCTCTAGTAGGATGTAGAGTCCTTTGGGTGTATGTCAAGAGTGGTATAGCTGGATGCTGAGGTAGATCTATTCCCAGCTTCCTGTGGAACAGCCACACTGATCTCCACAATGGCTGTACACAGTGAGTAGCTTTGCAGTATAAGGTGTTTGGGCACTTCAAACTGACTCTTCAGCATGTAACAGACAGTTCCTTGAATCAAGGCCATACAGACACTTGACAGATGCCTTCCCAGTACATTGATGAATCTTTTTCAATTTAGAGGCCAGAATCAGAAGATTCCCTTGCCTTCTGATCAATCCCTACTTTCCTTTTGGAGGAAAAAGGAGGTGCTTTATTAAGACACTAGTATTTCAATCAGTATTTTAAATTCAACACATCTTTGAATGATCTCTAACATAGAATTGGCAAAGAGGAGTCATGCCCACCACAACATATTCAGCATATGAGTTTAATCCACATTCAGCATGTGGTATTCTATTTCAAGTGGAAAGAATGTCTGCTACAAGAACATGCAAAATTAATGATTTGCTTTATAGAGTATTCTTACTGAATTGAACTCTTCAAATTATCAAGTACCTGAGGCCTCTATGAAGCTTCTTATTAGTCCAGTTATCCAACACCAGACACTGTGTAGAACAAGGGTGACTTCAAGATATCCAGTGGCCCATGAAGGATGATGGTGTATCATGGTAGGACAATGTTCTGTAATGCAAGAGACTGTAGGTCAGGGTGCTGGGACTGGAAAGGCAGTAAACTTGAGACCAGACAATCATGAATAATCTCAAACCTATTCCTAGTTAACATGTGTATACACTGGGTCACTAAATGAGTTCTATGAAAAGAAATTTTGGTCAACTTACAAGAATTACACTTATGTGGCAGTGATTTATGATATGAATATCTCTTACATACTAAGAAACTGGAAGTTCTACTGGACAAAACAGCCAGAATTAAACACTCATTCAAGCTACTTAAGACTTAAAACTATGAGAGGAGTTTTGTTTTGGTTAGGTGTTGTTTATGTGAACTTTACTGATAAAATTTATATTATACTTTATTCAAAGCTACTCCAAAAAATTTCCATTCTCTTGGAACCTAAAGATGTTTTTCACTATGCATTACCATGGTTTTCCCTTCTTTAGTGTTTTATTACAGAAGAAACATGTAAATGGAGGGGGTCATTGGACCTCAATCAGCATCATTTTATTTATAGAGGAGGAGGCAGAAAAGTAGATGCTCAGAACAATTATTTCCGAGCAGGTCTCCAGGACAATCATTTCTGTTATCTCAGTCCCAGGGCAGCTTCCTGCTCCCTCAGGGTTTCTGACACACTCAGGATGTGGGCTGCAACACTGTGTCTCGCACAGTAATAGACCGCAGAGTCCTCAGAGGTCAGGCTGCTGAGCTCCATGTAGGCTGTGCTGGAGGATTTATCAACAGTCAGTTTGGCCTTGTTCTGGAACTTCTGAACATATTTAGTTTCACTATCACTAGGATCAATCCATCCGATCCACTCCAGGCCTTGACCAGACCTCTGCTTCACCCAGTGCATAAAGTAGTTAGTGAAGGTGTAGCCTGAAGCCTTGCAGGACAACTTCACTGAGGAACCAGGTTTCTTCAGCTCAGGACCAGACTGCTGCAGCTGGACCTGGGAGTGGACACCTGTGGAGAGAAAGACAGAGAGGATGTCATTGTCACCTCATTCCTGTTCCTTCTTCAGGTTTGGAACTGGAAAGCTCCTTACCTGTAGTGACTGACAGGAGGAAGAGAATGATACAGCTCCATCCCATGGTGAGGACCTGTGTGCTCAGTGACTGTGGAGAGGACACTGATCATATGTTGTTCGGGGTGTGGACATCCCTGTATTTACCACAATAGATTCGCATGATTTTCATATTCATGAGGCAAGGTACATCTTACATAAAGACCAAGTCCAGCTTGTAAAGAAAGATGTAGAGGACCTTGGGTCAGGCAGCAGGATTCTAAAATCCAAGTCCTAAAACTGTCTGAAGGAATGCATCCCATACTAATTCCCCAAGCCCTGTGGAGACATTGTGGATGTAACATTAAGACCTAAACTCCAATTCACAGATTTACTTCAGCTGGAGACGGTATCTCCTCATGATGATAAAGTTTATTTACAGGTGGTAGTTGTGATAAGGATTTCAAAACTCCTAATTCATTGGAAGTTGCAGTCTTCTTTCATATACATGCAGTTAGTAAATGCTTTTCCAGCAGGTTGTATACTAAAAACCTTACCTAAAAGACCAAATGTGAAAATGTTTCAGAAATGGTTGCAAACAAATATTATTGCAACATTATCTATAATAGGTAAATTATAGAAACAAACTATATGTCATTCAACCAATGGTTGCATGAAGAATACATGATCTATATACAATAGAACATAATTTATTCATGAGTAACGTATAAGAAACTTACATCACTTTTAGGAAAATGAATGCAATTGGTGATAACATTATTAAGGAATTTAAGTACCAGCTCAGAAACAGATATTGTATAAGAGTTTTATTTGTAGTCCTTAGATATTGCATAGTTAGAAATGTTTATGGATGTACATATGTAATGATGCATAACTCAAAGTATCTAGTGGAATAAGTGGCAAATGGGAATAGTAGGAGTAATAAAATGGTAGGTTGAGATTACAGGATAAATAAATATAGTGTACATTATACATCTGTATGAAAATTCTAAACATATGAAATATTGTTATTTCAGGATAATGTTTCTGTTCATTCCTTGCAATTTCCATCCATGAATGCAATATATTTTGATCATATTCAATCTTCCTCTCTTTATGACCTCTCAAAGTAACAAGTGTCTCTCCTAACAAGTGTATTTTGTTATATTAATGAATAACTCACTAAGTCTAATAAATGCTATCCATATGGATATGGTGGAGGTCACCCACTAGCTCATAAGTAACCTCCAAGTGGCCACACTCCTAAAAAGTGGTTCTAACTTCCTAAGCAGTCCTCCAATCCCAACATCTCCTCAGCTTGGAATGGTCCATGGGGAGTTCCTCCCCCACCTGTGCTGTAATCTTTAACATACATTTTGTTTAGTAGTGGGAGCAAGACACACGTGTGCCAAGGCCTGTGAGAAACTGAAGACAACTTAAGGAGTTCAGTTCTTTTCTCCTAAGATGTAGCTCTTAGAAACTAATAATTGTTAGGTTTGCCAAGAGGCACTGTTAACTGCTTAGCCTTTCCCCAGGCTTTCATGCTGTAATTTTGACTGGTTTGATTTTGTGCTGGTCTTGTGCAAGTAATTACAGCTGCTAAGAGTTCATTTGTACAATGAGAACATGTCAATAACTGTAGATAGAATTTCATGTCTTTCAACCTCACTCTCTTACCCTTACATTTTTTTTCATTTCCCCATTTTGTGATGGTTGTTGAGCTTTGGGTGAGAGGTTGATATAGATAACTCGTCTGTGGCTGAGTATCCAATTATTCATTCTCAGCCCTTTTACCAGCCGTGAATGTCTGCATTGATCATTACACATCACACAGAAGCTTGTGTGTTCAAGGCTGAGACCAGCACCAATCAATTGGCTATAAAGATACGTATTATAAGGCTGTTTGACAATTTGACCATTAGCAATACAACTAGGGTCTACTAGGGTTACGTCAGCCCTTGCCATGGGCTGTTGAGCATGCTTACATGGGGTGAATTCTTTCCTATGGAACAGGCCACAAATACAATTAGAAAGCAGTTGGTCACCACATAACAGTCAGGCACTAGTGAGTACATCCCGCCAGAAGGTTTTCTCCTGTCTCCCCCAGCCCTGCTGTCCTGCAGCCACTTATAAAATAGTCAGAGGCTTAATATTATTTACAAACTGTATGGCCTATGGCAGGTCTCTTACTAGATAGCTCTTTTAACTTAAATTAACTCATTTCTATTAATCTATGTTTTGCCATGTCTTCCATGGCTTTACCAGTCTGCTGGAATGTTGCTCCTTTGACGGAAGCCTGGCATCTCTCCAGATTCAGACTTTCTCTTTCCTGTCTCTCCCCTTTTTTTTCCTGCCTGCCTCAAAGGTGCCTTGCCATAGACCAAAGCAGCTTATTTATTAACCAATGGAAACAACATATATTCATAGCATACAGAAAGACATCCCCCAGCAAGTACATCCTGCCTGGAAGGATGATATTATAGATGGCAAGGCATGGTACTGTGGAAGATAACTGATGCTTTTTCTCTCACTGCAGGCTACATAGCACCTTCCTATGCTAGGAAATCCAGCCAGGAGAGGAAAATTTCTGTTCACTTCAAGATTTGTTTCTCCATATTCTCAAACCAAAGTCCTTATCTATCAAGAAAATGAAGATCAAAACAACTTAAGTTTTGATTTTTACCCCAAATAGAGTAACCATAATCAAGAAAACAAATACAGACATGGATATGGAGAAAGGGTAACCTCTATTCACTGTTGGTGGGAGTGTAAAACAGCGTAGTTACTTTGGAAATTATTTTGGAGATTTCTTCAAAAATAAGAAATAGAACTGTTATATATCCCAGCTATATCCCTCACAAGCTTAAACTCAAATAATTCTACATATTATTACAGAGACACTTGCACATCCATGTTCATTGCTGCTGTATTCACAACAGATGAGAAATTGAATCAATATAGATGTCCAACAACAAACACATAGATAAAGAAAATGTGAGACATATAGACCATGGAATACTACTCAATGGCAAAACTATAGTAAAGGAATCTACAGGTAAGTGGATGGAATTAGAAAAAATATGAAATTGGAAAAAAATATGCTGAATGAGGTCACCCAAACACAAAAAGACAAATGCTTCATGTGCTATCTCATATGTAGTTCCAAGATTGGAATGTTTAATTTCTAAAACCAGAGAGACTAGGAAAGGTTCATTAGGGATTGAGATACTAAAGAATTAGATATGATGAAATACAGATAAAATGAAAATGGCAGGGACAGCTACTGGAGACACACAATTTCAAACATAAAGTGGTGATGGGAAATAGAGAAGTGATGATTTGGGGCTCTGATTAACAAAATTTAAGAGTTATAATAAAAAGGCATTGAAATTTAAGATCTTGCAATGTAGGTAAAAATATAATTATGCACTATGTAGAATCAATTTGTCAGGACAAAAATGAAGGGGCAATGTACTAGGAGCAAAGAAAAGCAATGTATGCAACAGAAACACATTGCAAATTTATTTCTATAATAAAAAATCTGGAAATAATGAACAGTTCATAGCTATCTAGTTTTACACTTGAGATATTCTTCTTATTGATGGAACAAATTTGTGTTCAGATTACTGTTTATTTTTTGGATATGCTGCTACAGTATTTTTGTCAAAAACAATAAAACTAATAAAAGTCTATGAAAAACTAGAGATGTCTAGACAAGACTTGTAGATTAGTTGTTAGTATTGTCTCAGTTGTCTGGTACTAACTATGTTCCATGGGTCTCAGTGGTCTGGTTCTGATTATGTTCTGATTATGTGAGATATCTGCTTACAGAGAGCTGAATAGAAAGTACATGTATGAGCTTTGCATTTTATTTTAACTGTGAATCCTTGAACAGGGTTACCTGAATAGATAAACAGGAAGTGTTGGTCCCCAGAGACACAAGAGATTGAACATCTCAGTTCTGGGTACATAATATCTCCCCATGAGTTAATGGCGAGAGAGGCTCCAAACATGCTGAACAGTATGTGGTGATACCATTGTTCTTGGTGGCACAAAATAATTGCATAGATAAGCCTTATTTTAGTAGAGAATTTAAGAACTTAATAAGTTGTGAGAGCCAGATGAGTAGGTGACTCCAAGGGAACAGTGTCTTCCAGACACAGTAGGGATGATGCACATAAGAATTCACGGAGTCTGTGACATCATGCACAGAGCCTGCCCAGGTTAAGTCTTGGTCTCAATGTTCTTTTGCTTAAATCCATATTTTCTGATCTTGCATTTTTATGTTTATTTTCTTTTGTCTTGTGTGTGTTTCTTGTGATGTAAAAAATTCTCTCTTCTTTTCCTATTTGCTTTCTAAAGAGAGAAAAAAGGGGTGTGGAGTTGAATGTGTGGGGAGACGGAAAGGATCAGAAAGGAGATATGTCAGGGAAATCATGATTAGAATATATTGAATGAAATGCATGTTTCTCAAAAAATAAAAATAAATACAACTGAAGAAAATAAACACTAAAATATAAGTCTCTGAAATACTTAATAATCTTTTCTGTGTTTGAACATGGAAATTTTACATACATACATACAGCAGCTGCAGTTCACAAAAGAGGTTTTAAAAGGGAGTCCACAGAGGCTATGGAGTCCCCTCCATGCCTTACCTGTTGATTACTGGTTCCACTGTGCCCCCTGCAGGTCATAACCTCCCCTTCAGGTAAATTTATCTTGGCTTACACTGAAGTTTCACTGTCTCTCTTGAGCAGTAACATCCCTGAAACCTCAGTGTTCACATAATTCAGGTGAAGGGGTAAAGGCCTCTTGTTTTTCTGGAGTTAATGACTGGATGTGTCAGAGATTGTTTTTAAGTTGTGTCTGTATTATTAGTAATGTCCTTTTGAATGCCAGAGTCTTCGCTAGATGCAGTTAGATCCAGTCCCAGCAGTACCCACCGGTAATGCAGTAACTA